ACTTCAGTACAAGACATCTGCTTTGACTTTCAGTGCAATCAGTGCCATGACGTTACTGTCCTTCTAGTTATCTTTCACTTGTCAAATTTCTGATACACCAGTTATGTCAGTACCCATTAAAATCAGGCATCTTGTTTTCCTTCTCTTTACCTGCTATTGTAGCACTGGCTTGAAAGCATGCATAGATTTGGCTAAGTTTTCTCTTCTTTCTGTGCTTTGTTTAGGTGAGACTTTATTTATTTCTTGTTTGTCATCCTAGTTTTGCCAGCTACTTTTCAGACAGCGCAGATTTTTATTTTCATCTCTACAGGATGCATCATCACGAGCTGTGTAGAGGACATACAGGAGTCATTTTCTATCTCTGCCAGTGCAGTCTATAATTTAAAAAGTCCCCTGTAACATTTTTGAGCGTTAAATACTCACCAGCAATGAACATTTTCCTTCTGTCAGATTTTATGCTGCCTCAATTTTCATGGTGTCTAAAAGGTCTTGTTTATTTTATGCATGTGAATTTCCCTGTGAATCAGTAAAAAGCAGTGCTGTGCAGACAGTTGCTGATGACCTGCCGTTTTGTTATTTTTTTGGTATTGTTCCATAAATTTGACTGTTGAAGCAAGTGAGGTCTTACAGAACACTAGAGTAGTTCAAATTGTACCATCCTCGTAAAGAGATTGTCCTGTGAATCCTATATGTGAATCTTGCCCTCTGTTGGTGCAACAATCTCAGTTTTGAGTGAACAATGATCTTTTAGTTTGCTTCTGAAGCAACTTCCCAACAGGACTCCTCAGGTCAGAGCACCTCATTCTCCTTCTGCCCTCACTGTTGTTGTGGTTAACAGCTGACGTTCATGTCATTTAGAGAAGGATGGGGAAGTTCAAACTTCCACGCTGTTCTGTGCATGGGGAAGTACAGGCCTGTATTTGTGTATAATTGTCATTCATCAGGTCACTTTTTGAGACTTATTGCCACCTTTTGTTTTACACCGTGGTGCCACAGTTTCCAGACATAATATTCAGCCTCGGTTTCTTCCACGTGAATGCATCCTCCTTGGCCCTGTGGATGTCCTCTTGGGCACAGATCTGCAGGGATGGGTGAGCCCAGAAGGGCTGGTGACAGAGGGAGGATTATGGAGCATGTTGCAGCCCAGTGTGCTGGGTGGACACTGCGGCAAGCGCCTGATGGAAAGAAAGCTGCGTTGAACAAGTGAGGTCTTGAGCAGCCCATAGGCAGAGGAAGATGCATTAAAAGATGTACCAAGTAGTTAAAAACTGGATGTGCTTTTCAGATCGGCGCCCCTTACTAAACCAGCTACCCTTTTCTGATGTCAAAATAATCAGCAAGAATGAAATTTTAATTTGCTTTGTTGAGAAAATCCCAGGGACGACTCAGAACTTGAAGATCAGGTGGCAGCTTTCTTCCAGCTCCTTTTGGAAATACTTGCTATCTTATTACTCATTTCTGTAATGAGAATTAGAAAATAGAAGGCTTCATGGGACCCAAAACCAACTGCTCCTTGAGAGCCCTCTAAAAGTCTTGGCCAAAGTAACCTTGTTAGTAGCCTATTATCCTACCTTCCTTTACCATTAGTGAATGAATAATGTCATAATAAATGTGGACATGGGACGTATTTTTTTCTCATTATATCTACCATCATAAAGCTGATTTTGTTAAGCAGATTTAGCACTAACAACCAGCAATAGCTAATAAATTCAATGTTAGGCTTACAGGCTTCTGACAGATTGTTGGCAGCTGTCTTAAGAGCAGGGAAGGGCTCTCCAAGTGTAGGTTGGAAGTGTTTATTTATACCACACTGTGGGTCTGTTTGCCCCAAATCCTGCTGCTCAGATCTGCCTCCTTTTAGTAGGTGGCATTGGTGCAATGTATACAAAAGCTGTAATAGCTGAACAGAAATACAATATCCAGATCAGCATAAGTGGACTAAAGATAGGGAGCTCAAAATCGTAGATCCTTATGCTTTAACAGTGAAAATAAGAAGCAGGGTTTCATTTATGAAGGTAAGGATGCACCTAGGCCTCACCATGTATTTTTAAGATTTTCCTTTAAATGTTTGTGATCAACTTTTCTCTATAAAAAAAAGTTTTTAAATATTCTGATGGGGTTTTACTCTGATTTGTTGCTGATTGGTGATGGACTGTAGAAGAAGTTGTTACACAACGAGACTGTCTGTGCTTAGGCTTCCTTCTAGCATGCCTTCAAAGTGAGAGATGATGTGCTTGGAAGTATTTTGACAGTCTCCAACAACCTGTCCTTAGCTGAGAAGTCGGTGAGACACAGGTCTAATTTGGAGCAGAGAAAGCCAACTTGAAAGAAAACTCTGGAAAGCCGAGTCCCCAGCTGCAATAATTGAGCATGCATACCTAGAGACATTTTGGGTATTAAAAAAACCTTGAACAATCACTTTTTAGTGGTAATTCATGCTAAGAATGTGTATAGAAAATGAGCGAGCAGAAGTCTCATTGTAAAGACAAGTTGTGTTCCCAGTTACACAATGTTCTGTGAAAACCAAAGCATGGTAGTACAACTGAGCTCAGAAAAAGGCCCTCGGTTTTTATGTATTTGCTGCATTTTTATCATATCATTTACTTGGAAGAGGAATCAAGTATCTGGCCCAGCACCAGGTGCTACTGAATAGCTGCAGGCTTCTGCCCAGTGTGCATGCCCAGCCAACACCACAGGAATCTGGAGGTGTACGCAGGTTTCTCAGGGCTTCAGAAGTGGGGAAATCTGTCTCCTGCCCCTTGCCAGCAGCTGAGCACAGTTATCCAGCTGCATACCTTTCCTAAATAGGTTTTCACTTTGGAATTTGGATGACCCTCTGCAATCATCTGCTCTGAATACCTTCATTGCTCTGCTTGAGAAATAAATGTTAAAATGCTGATTTCTCTGATTTCTTTAGGAATATTACTACAGCACAAGGGATACTTGTAAAGTCAGTGCTGAGTGACAGAATGAAGAAATTGAAGAAGTTGGAAGTTCTTTCTATTTACGAAAGAACAGAATAGGTCTACAAGTTAAATAATTTGCAGTGAAAGAAAGCTGGGCATCATTGACACAGCTTTCTTTTCACATGTGGTGGAAGTATCTCAGGATGGTACAAGGCTGATGGTGAAGAAATCAGGTTGGCCATGTTTCAGTTGATATGCAATTGCAGAATCTTTCCTGTTTTTCTTTGTAAGTCAGGTAGTTGGTATTTTCTATCTTCAGCTGAGCATTCCCCTCACTTTCTGTGATCATGTCATACAACTGCACGGAAAAGCTTCAAAAATAGAAATAATTTTGTTCACTAAAACTGCACCAAAAGAGCTTGACTTGTTCGAAAACAAAAAATAAAATAGCCTAGAAATATACACTGATACCATGCAGCAACTCTAAAAGTGCTATGGAAAAAAAATGCTGACAGCGTTTAGCACCACCAAAAAAGCTAATACTGAAAGTACTAACTGCTGTTTTGGAATGAGCGTGGGCGATGCATTATGAACCCTAATGAACTTGCACAGAAAATGGATGAACAAAACCATCCCCGTGCCTTTCTAACAGCCAGGCTGTGCTTGTCTTGAGTCCTTCTCAAATCATGCAATGTCTGCTTGGCCTTGTGTTGCCTTTTTTGCTCCTTTTACGTCTTTATCAATGTTCTTTATATCTCCTTTCACATTTCTCTCCTTCAGGCTAAAGAATCTTAGTCTTTCTTGTACAGAACCTTCTAGAACTCTGAATACCCTTGCTGCCTTTCTGTGAACCGGACTAGAAAGGAAAAAAAATACCACTGTGTATTCTGTATACAGGAGAGGCTCTTGGTCTTTACAGTCATTCTGCAACAGGACGCTCCCTGCTCTGTTCTCAGGCCCTTTCCTTGGGATTCCTAAAATCCAGTTTGCTTTTTGCCCTCTGAATGAGGAGCTTGTGGTTTCAAATCTGTTCAGTCCCAAGGTCAAATTTCTGTACGTAAGGTTTAGCTCACAGCTCATCAGTGTTAGTAATCCCAGGATTGTTTTTCCCTTATGTGCATAATATCTTCAAGTTTGCTTACAATGACCTTCACAGAGACTGCTAGCATTTCTCCCACTGAATACCCCACTAGTTTATTAACAGTAATCATCTTTCTCTTCCAAGCTGCCCAGCTGATCAGCAATTCAGACTGAGAACAATTGTTCCTTACACCACTCACTGCCTGTGTCAGACTTCATGGAGGTACCATTTGCTCAAAAGGCTTTGGGACTGTCTTACGTGATCTAAAAAATGGTGTCTCTGTACAAAAGAGAGTTTTCACATCCTTTGGATTCTCCAGAAGTTCATTGTGAGCATGGAGGGCAGCACAAGGATCATGTGCCTCTGTGATTGTGGGCAGAGTGCTCAGTCTTCAGGTGGAAGCAGGATGTGCTCAGCTGCCCAACTTGATAGTTAATTGAATTCTACCTTTTATTTTATATTTCTGATGGTGGATACTATTGAGAAATATGGACTAAATTGCTATGGGGGATGTGCACCTCTAGTACAGGGGTAAAGGAAAGCTTTGCAGCCTGCTGTTTCTTTGCACCTGATTATTTTCCCTCTCTTCTTTCCTTGATGTTAGGTCACACAAGCAGTTACATGATTTCCCCTCACAAAGAGACATTTGGGACCTGAAAGTAAGTGTCACTGCAATTTTCTGAGTATAAATGGCTCCATGGCCTGAGGAAACTGTGCAGTGTCCTTCCTTACTAAAGGAGGCAGGGAAAAGTCTGTATTACAAAATAAATCTTAATTTACTTGGAAAAAAAGCCCACCAAACAGCTGAATGAAAAAGGAACGCATCAGAGAAATGACAGGTCTGCAGGATCTGAGTAAACAGCTGTCTTAACTCTTCAGCTGAAAGTAATCTGGATGACACTTAAGTTCTTGTATGCTTAGGAAGTAATGTTTCCCCTGGCACTGAAGTATGACAAGAAACAGTACTGGTGCTATTTGTAAAAAGGGAAGAAGCCTTAAATGTATTGTCTTACCTTTTTCAGAAGCCGGAGCAAGGTCAATAAAACTTCGACATTTCTCACCTTTAAAAGAAAAGGATTATTTTAGGAGACAGAAGGTGTTTGGTTTGCTCTGCCTCCTCTTTCTGCTGGTGTTCCTGCCCTCGCTCCCACCTGAGACTCTATGGGACCACCTCATGTTCTCAGCCACAGAGCAGATGTTTACTGGGCCTCCTTCCTAGACAAATGATCCTCACAAGGCAAGGGTCACCTTCAACCAAGGGTATGATAAAGCCCATCTGGGTTCTGGTTCCTGTGCCTCTTATCAGGAGAAAACAACTTGATAGCAGAGAAGGAGCCACATAATGCACAGCTCACCAACACTGGACTGTCATTTACAAGCATGGATGAGGAGGACTCCACAGATTCTGCATATGATAGGTATCTGTTATGTAAAAATAATCAGTTTTATACTGCTTATCTAAAGCTGTCTATTAAAAAAAAAACCCAAAACAGTAACAGCAAGTTTTGAGTCCCAGTCATAGTATTTTTAGCTAAGACTGCAGCCAAACAGCCAGAATCCCATATAATTACTCAAGGATAAAGAAAGTTATTCAAAATTCGAATTCATTTGAACAACTTTTCTGTGCTACATTTTGAAGAGTTTTGATAGATTTGATTCTGACCAACTTGAGGGCCCTTGAGGGGACACTCACTTGGCTCACTTGAATGGGTCCAATATTCAAGCTGCAGCTGCACTTTCTCAGTGCCCCAAGCAACATATTCTTCTCTGAAGGGAGAATGTGAGTGAGCCAGGGAATGGTTGACTTCGTTTTATAGGGCATAGCATGAAAGCATATTCTCAGGGAACAGACTAAGCAGAATAAACATCATGCTGATCCTACTTGTAGACATTACTAGACTCACGTTGTCAGCAGACTGTCATTAAAAACTCTGAGAATCAATGTGGAATTCCAGTTGGGCACTTGATACTACAGCACAAAGCAAAGAAGCAGTCATTTTCTACAAGAATCTGACATTTAGTACTGCTCACTGGAGAGATGGAGAACTTCATCTTTCCAGAAGGGCTGAACAAAGGGATTTGTCCAGCTCTGGCTACCTGGGTGCCGACGTCAAAGCTTCACTCACCCCAGTTTTCCAAATGGGATTTATCAGGCCCTGATTTAGGTATGAAATGTGGCTATGAAAGACAAAAGCTGAAGCACAAAGCAAGCTAAAAAAATTGCATAGCATTTTCAAGTCTTTTAAAGCCCACTGTTACAAAGCAGGCTAATGTGCTGCCGTGACAGTCGCACAGCCCTGTGTCACTCCCTCTGCCTTGTGGCTGCTTCATCCTTTTATCACTGTAAATTAAAGCTTTTCTCTTTTAGGACTCTGCCTCAGCAAATGTAACCAAAGCAGCAAATGTATCTTAAAGATGGATGCTTTGACTTTTGTACTTCTTCAGGCAATTGAGGAAACTATAAAATAATTCCTGTGTTTAGGTGCATCTGTCCAATGAATACACGTGGTTTTTACAATAAGTTACAGTACGAAGTGGCCAATAGCTTCTCTGCTCTGCCCTGAGTAATCAGAGCATGGCATGCCTTCCACAGGTAATGGTGGAGAATCCATTTTGCCCATTAAGACTTGAATTTGTGGAAGAGCAGCTGAAGTTTTTATTAGTTTTCTTTAATTATCTTTGCACAGTCAAAAGACTTATTTAGAAAATGTGAGCCATTGAAAAAGAATACATGGTGAAATACAGAAGAGATGTTGAAGTCTGCATTTTTTTTTTGTTCTTAAAAGCAATTAATTATATGTACAAATCCTTGCTCACCACAGGGGAGTCAGACTAAGATGGCCATCAGAGGTCCCTTCTAACTCCAAGGATTCCATGATTCCATGATCACTATATAATGTTAATCCTTTTGATGTCTTTGGTAGGATTGAGATAAAAGAAATAATTCATAACAGATTGCTAATATTACTTTTTATTTGCTACATATGCTACAAAGTGCTGTGTATGTAATCTATGTATAAGTTGCTATAAAAGTTGCACTTGGTATTGAAACGAACGTTTCTGTAACCCCATGTCTGAGCAAAGGACTTGTCCTCTGTGAATTCAGGCATTACGAGGACATTTTAGAAAAGAAAACAAGTTATCAAAGCATCATCTCTATTTCCAAAAGAGGTCCGTATCTGAGCAGAGGGAATGTCAGGTGAACAAATGTTGCTGTGAGACAGACTGAAAGATACTTGGTGGTGTATCACAGAAACAACAGCATCTCAGAAGCTCTGTGTTGACAGGACCTTGCTGGTCTCTTTTCAGCCTTGTGCTCAGAGTAGGACTATTGCTGGGGCCTGATCAGGTCACCTGTGACTTTACCAAGTCTTGTGATACCTGATGGATGGTGATGCACTTTCTGTAGTGCCTCCCAAGGCTGCGCCCACTTCTGGAGAAGTGCTTCTGACTAGAACTTCTGTAGCTGCTCTTTGTAGCCATTCATCCTATATTTGTAGGGACATGAGCAAGGCCAGCTACTTTTTTTTCACATGTGGTTTTCTTAGGGACCTGATCAAGAAATTCAGGCGAGCAGGTGGGCTATAAAAGATACTGTGCTGTAAGTAGGAATCATTCTCAGCCAGATTGCATTATAAGGCATGACGTCTGTCAGGAATGCACTGATATCAAGTTAATATAAGGAGAGTGACCTTTAGATTTGAATTTGATATAAGCAGATTATGCTGGATTTTTCATTTTAGCCATATGGATCTGCATTTTTTGTTTGTTTTCAGACGTAATCTATTAATTTTATCTCACTTATCTTAACCTCACTTCTCAGAGTCATGTCTCCCCCATGGCTGCAGTGAACCTGAAGTCATATTACTGGAAACCTTTAAAAATTGCCTGATTCTCCCCCGTGTTATCCCAAGAAAGCTAACAATGAATGGCATTTGCTATTAGAGAAATGGCATCTGTCATTCTGAGAGCTGGAGATGCACAGTGCCTCTCAGATACATGGTAAAGTACTGACAAAGCCATTCCAGTTCTGGGTCCTGATGAAGCTAGTGGTTTCATCATGTTTGGCTCTAGATGCTTTGTCCAGAGGACAAATGTAGAGAGGGTGATCGCATGCTGCTTAGAAGAATGTGCATCTGCATACCTTCCCTTTAATCAGCTTGCCCAGTGTTGTCTCTCTCAGGAAAGCTCTCTGTGACAAGGCCTCCAGCTTAAATAACAAGGATAGAAAATACTGGAGTGACCAGAAAAAGGCCTTTTGGGGCCATGATGCAAAGATTGGTTGTAGACTGGGGACTGAGAAAAAGAAAAGCATGGAGGGTGAGATCAGCTTCAACTGCTGATTTCCAGATTGTGATGGCCTTAGTGCTAAAGGTTCTGCTCAGAACTACGTAAGAAGTTCTTGATGAAGGACTCTTCGCTCTGTTGTTTCTGCCCCTGGACACTGCAGTTTCTTCCTCTGTTTTCAGAGGTAACCAATGTTGGCATTTATAGACCGTGTTTGTACTTGGACATGCAGACATGCATCTCTCTGAGAACTGAAGATGTCAGCAGTGTTTTCACTGCTCCTCTTAGGATTTATGCTAAGTTATTTTTGGATATCTTGTATAACCGATCTCTTAAGCCCTCTTAAGTTTAATTTTAGACTTTGCAGAGTTTATCCTGCTGTGCCGCCCTTTTCCAGATGCATCGTCACCTAATAACGAGGTCCTGCAGAGTCTTTGGAGAATACAGAAAAGGCTGTCAATTCGTGCTGCAACAAGAACAGTGTCTAAGGTTCCTTCCCTTGATAGTCCTCACCCACTTGTCTCACTGATTCTAACAGAGGAGAAAGCCAAGGAGTGGTCTCTCCTGTACATAACTCTCTTGTATAGACAGAGGAGATACAACCTGGCTTCAACACTGCTGCACGGTGCGCAGAGCTCTCTGGAGCTCAGCAGCATCAGGGAGTTGCTGCAGGTTGAGAAGAAAGGACTGACTACCCAAACATCAACAGGAGGAAACTACATGGTGCCAACTCCTTCTAGGGCTTCCCAAGGATGAGGCAGAAATCTGTGACGCCATCTGTGCAAACCCTGGCAAATGCATTCCATCCTAAGCATGTTGGCTGTGCACAGGCTCACTTGTGTCTCACTGGACTTCCTTAGCAGGTCATAGTGACCTATAGGTCTAGGTACCAGCGACTGAAAACACTGAAATTTGTGTTTTTTCTCCAGTTAATATTACTTAATTGTGCAGATGTGCATGTACCTGTAATTTAGTATGGATCTTCAGATTGAACCAGCTGGAGACTAGAAGGTATATCTGGAAATACTCATGGTCTGAGCTATTGCCTGGGTTATGGTATGGACAACAGACCTAGAGCCCATGATAGTATCTGAGACCAATGGTGTGATGTTGTGCATCTACAGAGAGAAGAAGTGGGCAGTTTATCACTAGTGACCGTGACACTTACTCAGATGGAGAGGAAGAGGAGCTGGTGGGGTGCTGCTGGTGTCTTTTTGGTGCTGCTACAGGCACAGCTCCCTACATTGATCCGTGTGGCCAACAGGTAAGTGTCACAGAGGCATCTGTGTGCATGTACACGAGTGTGTGCCTGCATCTTGAGTACGTGCTCAGGCTGAACTGGGAAGCAGCACACAGGCAAGAGAGGAGAAATCCCCTGGGTCTTAAAGTCTCTTGGGCTCAGCTTCTGTTCCCAAGAGCACACACAGCATTTTCTCACACAGGCTCATCGGAACTTTTCCCATTTCACGGCTCTATAGCTGTGCAAGCACCCGTAGCACAAAAGTCAAATGACTGCCAGCTCCTCAGTGGTTTCTACTGTGGAAAGCTTGGCTTTGGGCTTCTGTTCTGAGGAAACGGTGTATGGTAAGAAGTGCTGGACTCAGGGAATGAGGGAAAGTTGTGGCAGCATTCTGTGATCACTGTCTAACTTGCAGGGTGAGGGCCATGATCTTTCCACTGTTCTTTGCCTTCTCCTGCTCCTAATGCAGTCAGAATTCCTGAGTTTCCAGCAAATAATTGTCATCAAGATTTTCTCATGTCTGAGAAATCAAAT